CAAAAGCCTGCCCTACAGGTCTCTGGGAACACACTAGGTTCTCCCGCTGCTTCTTTTCCTCCTTCACATGAAGTGTGACTGAGGCTACAGTGGTTCTCGGGGCCAGGATCACCCTCACTATCACTGTCAAATGCAGCTCCTCTGAAAATCTACACATGGTAATTTATCCTATGTATAAAAATCTGGTTCCAATTACTTCTTTTTTGCGAGTGGTCTTCATCCAGTGGCTACCCTAAGGGTTATTCTTACTTTTGCAAAGGGCCAATAGGTAGAGGATAAACTTGGTGTTCCATGCTCTGAAGCCCCCACTTTGTCTCCCGTTCACGGTACTCTGCTGTACCACAGACAACTCCCGACAAGCCCTGTGTGACTAGCAGTGGTGTCTGCAGCCTTTATCCAATGTCCTGGCCCATTCCGTGAAGTGGTTGGTATTAGCAAACTTATCCGGACAAACACTGTCCATCTTTTCCTGTTCAGATTTGTCTTGGCAAAAGCCCACAATTTTGGCTGTTCCCTCTAAGCTCTGCAGAACCCATCTCTTCTCCCTTAGGACAACTAGGAAGACCCAGACAGCATCACTGGTGACCTCTCTACTGAACCAGTCTGAAACCACAGGGAATCTACTTTCCTGACACAGGATTTTCTGTTTTCAAGGGGAGATACAGCTGCTTGTCACACTCTGAGATGTTTTCATGTATGCTTCTCATATCAGCCTGAACGTTAACACTACCAGATGTGCAATTGACCGCAGTATCACTAAAAGTACCATAAGAGGTCTCATGTAACCAAAGCATCCTGATAGTCTAGGACTACCGGATGGGGTCAGGCCACAGCTAGGATGGAGGGGCTCAAACAACAAAGCTGCTGCTGTGAGAACAGGAGCTCTGGAGAGCTAAAACTTCGGCCTTGGAACTGATGTTAGTCTTTTAGAAGTCACCACTGGCAATCACACTTACGAGTATCTTTCAACTGAGATACAACTAGCATATCAAAGGTGAAGGTCACCTTTTTTTTTAAACTGAGATATAGTTAACTGAGATATATACTCTAAGTGTATAGTACAGCGCTTGTTAGTATATTCACAGAGTTGTACAACCATCATGACTAATTCCAGAATACTTTCATCACCTGAAAAGAAAACTATAGTCATTGTCTATTCTCCCTCTCAGCAGCCCCTGTGGTAACCACTAATCTAAGCTCTGTATGGCATTGTCTATTCTAGACCTTTTATACACAGGGAATCATGATATGTAGCACAGATCCTGTGTCTGGTTTATTTCACTCAGCCTGTATTCAAGGTTATAGCGAGTATCAGTTCCTCAGTCCTTTTTATGGTAAATATGACACTGTAGAGAAATACTGTGTTTAGCTTTTCACTCATCAACTGATGAGCATTTAGCATGTTTTCACTGGATGTTATGAGAAATGCTGCTGTGAACATACTTACATGCAAATCTCTGTGTGAAATGTTTCCAGTTCTCTTGGGTATACACCTAGGTGCTGAAATTACTAGGTAGAGAATAACTCTAAAGTTAAATAAATTTAACTTTCTCTAGGCATTCAGGTGGCATATTAATATTATATATCTGAGTCTACAACCATTATTATCTCGCCCAATTAAAATGTTATTCCCACTAATATGAAAAGAGTTTCCGTGACATACATTATTTCCCCAGTTTCCCTGTGGCCTGTCACTCTACCATTAACAGAAGCTAGACTTCTCAGACAGAAGTAGTTTCCTAGTAGCACATGCTTTTCTGCTACCTCCAAACTAAGCGCTACCTGAGAATTACACTGTGGGGAGGCTGGTTGACAGGGACACTGACAATAAAAGAATTAGTTACAGGATTTACGTGGCAAGGCCAGCCTATTGGCCTATCAGGTGCAAAATCTGCTCATGTTTAGTGGATGGATACTGTGAACATCTAAATCAGGGATTAGCAAACCACAGCCCATGAGCCACACCCAGCCCTCCTCCACCCATAATTTTTACAATCTGCAAGATAAGAATTATTCTGACACTCTTCAATACATAACAACATTGTAAAAAGCTATGAAAGTACTTACATAAAATCCCTATTGTTCCTCTTAGCTCACAACACATAAAACATTTTCTACAGGTCCTTTAAGAAAAGCTTTTCTGACCTCTGCCCTTGATGATACACATACAAGCTAAATTCTTTTAAGACTAGTTAATAAAAAGGGCACCACGCTATTAAACTCTCAATCTAGGACACCAAGTTACCTAGGAAATGACTCAAAAGGCTGGTAAACACAAAAATAGGAAAGCAACCGTGTACACACTGGACAGTGATGGCAAGCTACGTGAAACTGCGAAGTGCGGAAGCTCCCAGGAGAGCACACAGGTCACTAGCAACCTGAAGGTTTGCTACCCCAGTCGTGTTTCTTCTGGAGACGGCTACCTTTGACACACTAATATATTTGACTTTAGTGAATGCACCAGCCCCATCCTTATCTCTTTCCTGCTTATTCTGAACAACATGTTTTTCTCTTCCCAGCAAACAAATCCTTAGTCACTTGGGCTGGTGGAACCACCACCTCCTCCTAGTGTAAGCGGATTAAGGTACACAAGGCTTAGGGCTCTACCTAGGTTTGTATCATTACTGCTGGTTATGAGGTCTCAATATTAAATCTAGCAAGTGGTAGTTAATTACGACAGACCGCCTTCTTTTTTAAAAAAAATTTCCCCTTCAAAGGGGGGAAACAATACTTGTTCTTTGCCCAACTAAACGTCTTCTCTGGTCCTACTCACTTCTCAAAAGTAATGGCACCGGACTGCAATGAGCCACACCAATTCTTCAACTGTACCCCAATGTACAGCATGCCAAATGACCTTAATCTCTTCTCTTTTTCTGAAGAATCAGAATTATCTACTTCTGTCTACACTCCCAACCTTTCAGGATAATGACAATTTAATCTGTCCCACTTGATCTTTTGCATAAAAATGCAAATGAAGATACTAAAAGACGCTCCTACAGGCAACCCACTTTTCTGTCTCTCTTTGACTGAAGCTTTTCTTCCTTTCAATAAATTCTTCCTACTCTTTTAAAAAAAGTTTCTGCTTTTCCTCAGATTTTTGCTGTTAACTTTTCCTTCCTTTTTGCTCCATTTGGGGTTTCCCTCTTTTCCTTGGCACAGAGTGAGAGTCCGGGAGACAGAGCGCATTAGGTTCTTCCTCCTTTTCGAAGGCCTTTATTCCAGCTTCAGGCTTCCTAGTCTTACCCAGTTTTCCTATTTCCACATTCTCCATGGTCTTGCCAAATTACCTCTTTTTAAAACTTTCCAATTAGACCTCCAACTCTCACTGGAGCTCTGGCCTCAGCAAAAAATAGCCACATCTCCCTTCCTGTCCGTCCCATACACCAAAAATGTCTCAGTCAATTCCTGAACTTCTTTCTGAACAAGAGCTATCTGTTGAAGACCTAGACCAGAGGACTCCATCCCTGTGACAATGTGTCAATCCATATCCTTTAACCAGCTCGCTACTACATAAAAATAGCTTTAAACAGGACAGGGAGAAAGTTTGAGCTGATACAGTTAAGAAACTTCACATTCTTCTAACATACCATTTTATCTTCCAGAAAATACTTCAACCAAAGTTTGAGCATTTAAAATGCATCCACATAGTAAGAATTCCATTCCTATAATAAATCAATATTAATTAAAACTGCAGTCGACCTTAAAACCAGTGATTCCCAAGCCATCTTTTTTAGACAACTCCCTGCTCAGAAATTGTTTTCTTTATCAATATAACCATAAACTTTCAAAATTCTCTTCCCATCACATTGTAACTTGGGGATGCTTCTAAAATTCTATCTATTTAAGACTCCATGGAAAAATTACAATCAGAAAACTATTACACATTCAAGGCATATTCACCTCAGGAACAAACTATTAAATAGTAAATTAAAAAATCTTTCAAAGTGGATGGGTACATCTCTCCCTTTGCAAATGACTTGGAAGTAATTTTGCCTAACTGCCAAGACACGACACAAATGATTTTTATAATTTTCCCTAAGACCTCCAGCTTCAGAGTGAAAGGGAAGTCTGAGGGAAGCATCAATCACTTTAGGTTTGGTACAGAAACTGGAAAGCAGAGACAGCAATAGAGAACCAAGTCTGCGGCAGCTACATACTTAAGTGTCAAACAGTAGCAAGACGCCATCTCAGCTATTCAGACAATCTGTGGCAGTGAAATATAGTTCCATACAACCCCACAACTGGCATTCTTTTCCAAAGCTTATGGTGCAGGAATCAGTCCAGATGCGATGGAGCAGGATGCTGCTGGAAGGAGCACACGTCTAGCTCTTCTTGCCTTTCAGTGGTCTGTGTCTCACTCCTGAACATTTTCTGCAGATGCCGCCAGCAGACACTCGGTAATACCTAAACCACAAATCATCACATTCCCCACCCTTCGAGCCAGGGACTGCGTCCTTGAGCTTCCCCCAGAGCGAGATACTGACCAAGTTGGCCACTGATACAATAGTCCTTTACAAATTTGGAGGAGTCTGCCACGCCATCTGCTTAACAGACCAAAAAGTAGGTGGACCTTAAGCACAAAAATATCCACTGTAGGTGAGGCTGAGAGACTAACGCAGGACACTTCAGACTTTTCACAGGGAATGAATCTTGGCTAGCTTGCTAAAGAAAACATTCCATCAATGTAAACATGGCAGGCGTGCGGTACAACTATACCTAAAATTACAGCAACTATGTCTCTGAAATGCAGACGTCTTGCAGAAATGGAATCACAGACAGATCACTTCAGATTTATTTCTCAAATCCAGGAAAGCTGCCTTTCCTCAGAATTAGGAAACTATGCTAAACATCTGCTGCCTGGTTGTTTCAGGAATCAATGGGGGTCTTTTAATGATGCTTGAATTTTATCTACTGTGACATACTTAAGTCACCTAAACCAAATAAAGTGTCCAAACTATGATACTACAACTTGAGAAAATGGTTAACTGAGCCATACTCACACTGAAAAGGTGCTGCCACGTGGTCCTGCCCGTATCTTAGTGGGAATGAGCCTTCTGTTGATTGCTCTCCTGAAATCACCTTCTGGGCTGGAAAGTACTTGGGCCTGAGCACATATTCCTGGGCCTGGGCATGATGAATCACCACATTCTGGGAGGAAAGGGGTGTTACTCTGGGAAGAAACAAAGTGAGAATCAAAAAATAAATAATGGGCTTTTAAAAGTCAACAAAAGAGGGAAGAACTAGTTAAACTTAAAAAAGAGCGGAAATTCCATGCAAGGTTCATTTGCTCCTTCAAAAATAGTGGCTGACCATGCATGGTGTATAGGCAGAAACTCACCACTTACCCTTAGAAACCTCCAGCATGAAAGGGACTCTGCCTATCTACTCAAGAAGCATAAGCTAAACAGGTTATCACAAATGGATTTTATCAGAGGGTCCACAGCATGGACCCTCTACTGTAATGCTTCATGCAAAACAGTGGCATTAATAGTTAAAAATGCAAAGACATAGACATAAATGGATACACATATAAATTGGCAGCTCTGGCAAAGCAAAGAGTGGAAAGAAAACAAAAAGGTATACAAGGAGCATATGCAAGAAATTCCCTGCTTGATTAATGAAATAAAATCAGCTTTGAGGACTAGATCCAGTATAGTTCAGAGGGACCTTGCCAAGCGACCTAGTAACAGCAGGTTAGTTGGTCAGCTCCTTTAAGTCTCAGTTCCCCTAACGGTAGGAACATACCGTCCTTGCCAAACAGGCCTGAGCAGAAAGCCTGCTTCATGCATGTCTGTAAATCTAGCACTCTGGGAGGCTGATACAGGAAGATAGCAATTTTGAGATCAGCCTAAGCAACTTTAGCAACTAAGTCCCTGTCTCAAAAAAAAATAAATAAATAAATAAAGGGCTAGAGATGTAGCTCAGTGCAAAAAGCCCTGGATTAAACTTCTGCCTCCCTCCTCCCAAAAATTTTGAACACAATAAAACTGAAAAAAAAAAGTAATTTGAGTTACCTTTTTGAAATATGAATTATGATACTGTTAGGAAAACAATTTCCATGCTGTACCTCATAATGATACAAACTATACTATACTGAGTTAAATGTTTTATAATTGCTGGTTCTCAAGAATAATGAAAATAACCAGTCTTGCCATTTTATTTTTCAGTGATAACAAATGAAAACCTCTGGGACTTCTGAACAAAATTGTGATGTTTTCACCTTCCTGACCCAACTCTTTATATTCTGTAACAATTCCCTTCCACTGCATGCAATATATACTTTAAAATAATAAGCCTTTGCCCATATTGAAGCATTCCTACAGGAAGATAAATTAAACTATTAGTTGAGTAAGGCTAGTAAGTAGTAATAATATACAGATGCTATATGAATTCTAGGATATACAAATTCTTTACTAAAATCATTAGAATGGCCCATTTTAGGAACACACAGCCTTCAGGAGGGAACTGGCTCTCCGTGTGATCTGGCCCAAAGGGCTGCCTCTCCAAAGGTGACAATATCCAAAGGGAGGAAATGACATCATGGCAGCTCAATGTAGAGAGTAAATTACCAGGCCACCAAAAATATCACCACAGTGTCTCATGATGGAAGCAGAATTCTACATAACTCACTCTATGGGACTGATTCTAGTTGGAGCTGAGGAAGGAGTTATTCTGCAGGACAGAGATAAAGAAACAGAAAAGGCTGGAATTAGGATGCTTCCTCTTAACCAGGGCTCTCAAGCCGTCTCTTTAAAGTCTGTAGTCTCAGTAACCCTGGTAAAATCTACCTTGGGCCTGGATTTTCCCAGACATAATAGCACCTTAAAGGCATTCCTTTCCTCACAAGACGACTCAGAACATTACTAAAAGCCCAAGGGCTAGCACTGCAAACACTGTCTTGATGATGTAAGTGTTGTTTTGATCTTTAAGTAAGTCTGTTTGGGAAAGAAGACACGGTGAAACAGCTGGACACATTTGGCGGTCACAAGTCCATTCCATGAGCCACAGGGAGAAGGAGAAGCTCTTCTGTAGCTCAGAAGCTGCGCGGCCAGCCAGTCGCTGTGGGCTGTAATCAGGTGACAGACATACAGATTAGCTTCTGTTCAGAACAGGAGCGCCCAACACCCCGGGAGACCTGGGCTGCCACACGCTCCTGTCCTGAGCCGCACCAGGAAGGAGAGCCTTTGGGTCTGCCTTCCACATGAGTACCTCCTTCTCTGCCCTCTGAAACAAAGACATATGGGCAGCAAGAAGTGAACTAAAAGGCTATGTACATGTGGACTCCTTTCCCCTGAACACAACAGGAAAGTCACAAACAGGTAAAAGTGAGATCAAGGTGTTCCAGGTCTTGAATTTCAGTAACAAGTGTTAGCCGGCACTAACCCAAGGAAATTGAGACTTGAACCCTACACTGGGCAATTATTCCCCAAGTTACTAACACATTGCAAATATGGAACTACTAGTCAGACATGGTGGCACATGCCTGTAATCTCAGCATTCAGGAAGCTGAGACAAGCGTATTTCTGCTAGTTCAAGGCCAGCCTAAGCTACAAAATGAGCTTAAGACCAGCCTGAACTGCATAATGAAACCCTGTCTCAAAAAGACATACAAAAAGAAAAAAAGATACATAATATGCAGCTACACATAGGTGACCCCATTCATCTATCACCTTCTCCTTTCCCCAGAAACAGGGCAAAAGTACATAGCACCTGCAGTCATAAGGCTGAGGCCATTCTGCTTCACAGTCCAAGAAGGTGTGGGGCAAACTCACCCCGCACACACTGATGAGGCGACACACCTTCTTCCTTGGTGGCCTGAGTCCACCTTCTCTTCCAGTGTCACCTGTCACAATTATTTTGCACCATTTCTCATCCTTATAGGCACACATGCAAACTCTTCTTTCTTTTTATCCAATTATTTCAGGAGAAAGAAATCTCTCTCTTCATTTAAATTGGGATTTCTAGGCTGGTGGTACATACCTGTAATCCCAGCACTCAGGAGGCTGAGGAAGGAGGATCACTCAGAGTTCAAGGCCAGCCTGAACTATATATGAGACCCTGTCTCAAAGTAATAATAATAATAATAATAAAAATAATAAAAATTGGGACTTCTTTTTCCTTCCTCCACTACCAGAATATACTATCAGTAGTGAACATAGGATTTGTCCTAACAATATAACTATAATTTTAAGGGATAGGAGGCTAAATTTTTCAAAAGAACCGAAGGTTAAAAGTGAAAACTGTAGGCCTCAGGTTCAAAATTGTTTTGAGACACCCATATATTCCCTTTTCTTCAAACATATGCTGAAAATTGTAGGTAAGGGAAAACAAAATATAAATTGAATTGATACTTCGCTCTGCACTATAGTACAACCAAGCGAGTGCACTAAAATATTTAATACACTGTATTGATAAAAAGCAACTATCCCAAATTCCTCAATGTCTCCCCACTGGTGACCTCCCTAGCCTACCTATGCCCCCGCAAACCAGTCCCTCAATCCTGAACCTACTCAGTTAACATTTGGCCAGCCAGAGACCCAGCTCCATTCTGGTTGGTCAAGACCTCCTGCAAACAGGCTACTAAGCAGGACTGAGAACCATGTAACAAATCTGTAAGAGATCCAAGGTACAACAAAAAACACTGGCTGCTGTAGCAGGAGACAGGAAGCCCTGGGCTGCAAAACATTTTTCTGCTCTTTACCTCAGTGCACACTGTACATGCACATGCAGCACACACCTTTATCTGTATGTGTGTTTTTTATATAATCCAAATGAATTTCACAAAATATTATTTAGGCTCTGTGTACAGGATATCTTGATATTTTCTCCTATAACCTATTTTTTAAACAGTCTTGAACCACACTGTATCTATTTAACGACTTCATGACTTCCTAATAGGTTGTATCCAGTAGCTGAAAGATATCCATGCGAGTACAGACACAGAGGAGGTGCCTTCCAAAGGGCCACAGGAGTCTGATGCCGAAGCCAAGAAGGGAAGAGATGATAATGAGAAGCAGAGCTGAATGCTGGTGTCTTCACTGAAAATTTATAAATGAAGACAACTGTCCTCCTCAGTTCAGCAAACAGACCATTCAGGAGTGAAATTTTTATCTCCTTCAGGTAAAAAGCCTTAGTACTCCTTTCTAAAAGAATGAAACGACCTGCAGTGAAGCACAACACATACCCCTCTCCTCAACAATACAGTCCTCTCCTGCTGGGACTTTTAGTTTTGCCAGCATAAAGACTGGTTTGCCATTCGTTTCCCCAAAGGTAAGTTGGACTGGGAGTAAGAGGAGAAGGGTCTGGAGGAAAGGGCAAGAAAGGGGACTCACTGCAGTGGAGAATGTGATTCCATAGTTCAGAGACACACCCATATGAAACCACACCGGGTGACACTAGGAACCTTCTCCTTTGGCAGGCACAGGAATCCTGACAACAGGCCACTGGGAAGAAGACACCCCGACAGCCTACTTGCTTTACTCTGAGCGCTCTGTCTATCCATACACAAAATATGAAAAACATTGTGTTGGAAGCACCCATGTTACCAACTCTGGAGATACAAAGGTCAGAATTAGCTGGAAGGAAACTGAAAAAGTCCAAAAATGAAAGAGAAGTGAAAAGCTTCATCTTTTCAAAGGAACAGTCAGAAGGTAACAGTCATGACTCTGACAGAAGACACTTTATGGAAGAGTACATCAAGGTTTACATGTGCCATTTGACTTTGAAGAGACAGGAAAATGATACATACCAAATAACGACTAGGAAGAAGGCTGATGATAAGGCATGAGATAAATAAGCTCACCCTTCCCTACCATGATAAGAAATCTTTAAGCAATATCTAAAGTGAATGAGCCATGAAGTGGCCGTGCAGAGGTAACTACCAGAAGAACTACAGGACTTGATTACATGAATCAAAACTGAAAGCGCTGAAGCCTGGTCGGGTAGAAGCGAATGTCTGAGTATGTCTGAGTCGAGGTCTAGTGGCAGAGTGAAAGCGACGAGGTATGCTGAGTCACACCCACCAGAAGCAAGGGCCAGTCTGTGGGGAGATGACTGCGCGGTTTTAGAGACAGCAATGTGGGCAGATCTCCACAGAGGGGTTAGGAAAAGCCTCTGAGTTTAGGAACATCACAGTTCTAAGTGGTCCAGTATCTGCAAAGGCAAAAACAT